TATACCCTTCGACGAAGAAGGAAGAAGAACCCTAGAAAATCGAATATCAAGGTAAGACCTCACTTCACTACTCGTTTCTTCTTTTACATTTCCAGGAATCGATTGATTTCTTTAGTGCTTTTTCTGAGTCGAGATCAATTTCATGTTTTTGTGTTTTTTTTTTCTCGATTTATATGGTTTCTTCATTGATTCGAGATATTGTTCTTTGTTTTTCGACTACTTACCTAAATGTTGAAAGCTTCACTGTCTGTTTGTTCTAGTAATGGTGACCTAATCGATTGAATTGAAACTTAGGTTAAAGTCATTGTACGCATATACCTAATGGGTTCCAGGATGAGTTATTGTTTAGACCTAATTGATGATTCAGTGAAGAGTAGATTTGTGCATTCCAATTGAGCTTTATGTGTGTGTTTTCGTATACAGATGAATAGGGAAAAGTTGATGAAGATGGCTAACACTGTCCGCACTGGCGGAAAAGGAACAGTAAGAAGGTATATACAAAGTCTTTCATTCTTGTTTTCTCGACATTCTTACTGGTTTCTATGTGTTGTCTAGAACATTTTTGTATGTCATTTTCAGGAAGAAGAAGGCTGTTCACAAGACCGCCACGACCGATGACAAGAGGCTCCAGAGCACTCTTAAGAGAGTTGGAGTGAATTCCATTCCCGCTATCGAAGAAGTTAACATCTTTAAGGATGATGTAGTGATTCAGTTCATTAACCCTAAAGGTGAAATGTCCTAACTTTGATTGACTCTTCTCTATAAGTCTCAGGATTTTGGTAAAAACTTCACTGTGTTTGATGATGATAATGGTCATTTTGTTGCTATTACACAGTTCAAGCTTCGATTGCTGCTAACACATGGGTCGTGAGTGGTACACCACAGACGAAAAGTAAGTTTTGTGTCCCACTTTAGATGAATGATCTATCTTGGTCCAGTACTCTTCTCGGGTTATGCTTATTCTAATCGTAAAATCTGAACTTTTTCTTACAGAATTGCAAGACATACTTCCTCAGATTATGAGCCAACTTGGTATGTATCATACTTCCTCAGCACTCTATTCGCAACCAATGATCCTTAAAATTAACATCTTTTTATTTTTGACAATGTTAGGACCGGATAACTTGGACAATCTGAAGAAGCTAGCAGAGCAATTCCAGAAACAAGTTCCAGGTGCAGCTGATATCCCCGCAACTATCCAAGAAGAGGATGATGATGATGTCCCAGAACTCGTAGTGGGAGAGACTTTCGAGACTCCTGCCGCTGAAGAGACTGCTCAGCCCTAACCCGGTGCTTCTTAGATCGGATCAAATGTTTGTCGCTCGACCTTTTTTGAGCACTGTCAGATTCTTGTTTTCTCTAATGCTTGCGAACAGAAAAAGACTTGGTTTTCTTATTATCACTTGATGCTTTTTGTCCGAACAGCCATTTTCCTTTTGATTAAGGTTAGATCGCCTTTTTGCTTACCATCACTTTGTTCAAATGAGTTGTTCTATGTTTTGTCTCTTCAAAATCAGTTCTTGCAACACAGGGTTCTTGATTTTGTTGGATAACTAACGTTTCTTCAAAATAAAACAATCAACGTTGCGTTACATTTTTTTGGAAACCAGAAAGATTTTACATATTTCCAATTATTGAACACAAACAATACACACTAACACAATAACTCTGAATGCAACTAAGTGATCAAGAACGCTCTGTTCCGTTCCCAGTCTCTTCTGCTTTTCCTTGTTGTGTCAGCGTTTCATAAAGAGGAGCGTCTCGTGTTTCCTTTAGCCATAGACTAACCACACCGCTTAACACAGATGCAACGCCAAAGACGAGAAACGACATCATTGCGTTTTCCCTTCCCATCGCAACTAACAACGGTGCTGCAGACGCTCCTAGCATAAACGCTTGACGCAAAAGCGAAACCGCAAAGTTCCTCACGTTTGTCGGGAACAGCTCGACGCAATAGACATATAGGACATCGTACGCTGTTGATGACGCCATGAACCCGACCGCCTCAACTGCGAGCTGCAACCATTTCGCAATGGATATAGCACGGGTCACACGGTGTAGCGAGAGAACCGCGCAGAGGAAGCACGAGATTCCAGCGAGGTATGATGAGTTTGAGAAGAGTGGACGGCGGTTCATGACCCCAAGGAGGAAACTTCCGATGAAAACAGCTGGAAACTCCATGAGAGCGTTAACCGCAACGGTTAAGTAAAGGTTGAAATTGAGATTCTCGGCGTTTAGTTGAATTCCGTAATATACAAAACCACAACCAAATCCAGCCATCATAACCATTACGACCCTTTGCACTGCCCATTTAGTTTTCCAAAACTTCTCTTGTTGTGAAGTTTGATCATCTCTCGTTGGAATCGGATCGACTAGGCTTAAATCCGCCGGAAGTTGTTTCCCATTGAGCCTCGCGAGTTTCTTCAAGACCACCATAGCTTCTTTGTTACGTCCCTTGACAAGAAGCCATCGAGGAGACTCATAGGCAAAGGGCAAGAGAAAAAGAGCGTAACCAAGAGGAAGAAACGATATGATTCGGTAAAGGTTTCTCCATGACTTTTTCTCCAAGTAAGCCATTAGTGGAAGAGATAGAAAACCTAACGTGAAGAAGAAGAAACCGTATTGACCTACTTGGCCTCGCCATTTTTTACCGACGATCTCGGTCGCGAGTACGATACAGCAAGACCCGATTCCTGATCTAAAAAACCCGTTGGCGAAACGCAAGAACGCGTAAACCCAAACGTTTGGGGAAAATGAGATCGCAAAGGCCGTGACAAACGTTAATATACAAGAGAGAAACAGAGTCTTTTTCCGACCAAACCATGAATCAGCAAGATATCCATAAACACCGGAACCTGTTGGAAAAACATAAAACAAAAGGCAACATGAGAATCATGTTTAGGACTGACCATATATAAACCAACCAAACTGAAATAAATAAAAAACGAATGTAACTTTTTTAAAAATAGAACTAAGTGCAAAAACAGCAGGGTCCGAGAATTCGCCTCTAGCCATTGGTTAAATTATCATACGACAAAAATAATTAAAATTCGGCTAGACCTCTAAGAAAGATAGTTCTAATTCGTTTAGAAAATTCACCAAACCGTAAAATACCAAACTTTGTTTTAAAAAAATGAATATGTATATAGTTATTAAGATTCATACCGAAAAGAGATCCGATGAAGAAAAGAGTGGAAGGAAGAGCAACAAGAAACTTATGTTGACATATGAGATTCCACTCAGCAACAATCGTATCTGTCTTTCCTCCGACCCATTCCCATTCTCCGGTGGACAATCCACACAACGACAAACCCTCCACGATGGCTCCGGTTGCGACTAGCCTCGCAGCTGGCTGAGCATCGGAGAAAATGGATACAAGAGTGGTTTGAGCATCGAAGATCCAAGCGATAGAGACCAAGAGAGCATGCAAGATCTGAGCTAATCCAAGTGGTCCTATGTGTTGCTCGATCACCTCGTCAACTGTGAGTGCATAACTATTGTTTGATCGTTGTTGTTGTTGTGGTCTTGTGGCTTCTCCTTTCTCGGATAATGATGAATCATTGGATATGTTTGATGATGTCTGAACGAGGGTTGGAGATTCATGTTCTGGAGGTTGCATTTTTTGTTTATGTTGTTTCAGGTGGAAATGTAATTCTTGTTTAAGGTTTAGTTTTGTGTGTTTGATATATATGTCTTAACTAAGCGATTGTATATATACACATGGTCGGGGAGAGTGTTTTTGTATCTGATTTATCACTCTCTCGAATAAACAATCTTGTAAAAAGCAATGGTGGATAATGAGTCATTAGAATTTTCTTATATATATAATCAACCAAAAAAATTTTATATTGGTACAATACGTTCATAAGTTTTCACTATTAATATAACTAAATGTAGCAAAAAAAAAGAATTACTTATAACTTGTGGGGGAAATATTAACATAAATGTAAAAGTATGTAACTCTCAGTTTTTGTTTGTTTGTCTACTTCTGTTCCTTTACAAGATGTAACTCATTTTTCTTTTTGCAACAAATGTAAACCCTTTAGTTCCCACTAATACAAAAAGATTGAGAAAAATATATATAACAAACGACAAAACTTACGGTTAGAATAAACATGATGCATGACGAAGAAAATATTTATGATGCAAAAGGAAAACACATGGCTGAAATTACATATTAACTCTATGATGATGTGTCAACAATGCATGTGGGGTTCCAAAACTCATCAAACATTTGTTTGATCTTGCTTTCAAAAGTTGGGTTCTGTTGTGGGTTTTTGGCCGAATCAGATACATTAAAAATGAGTTTGAATTTTGGAAGAAATTCTTTTGTAAAAAGAAAACGTATTCATCTGCAAGTAGCTGAGTGTTACGTATCGGTATGGCATACAACACTCTTCACGATGTATATGTGTGGTTCCGCGATTAATCCACACGCTGGATCTCTCTTTACAAAAGTAAATAGTGTTGAGGAAATTTAGGCCAATCATGAAATTCTCGATATGTTAGAATCAAAATTTTGTTTTTATAAATTGGTTCGTTTGATCTCAACAAAAGAAAATAATCCAATGGTTGAATGATTTACTTTGAATAGTTTTTTGGCGGAATTTGAAACTTTTCAATGCGGTTTTAATATCTTTAACTATTTGTAGACATTTTTAATGGTCAAAAACTCAATTTTTTTAATTAATTTCAAGGGATTAATGGAGCAATTACAAAAATATTATTTTTGTGTGCATATTTACAAAAATGCCACTTAGGGGTGTCTATTTACAAAAATACCATTAATTATAGATTTATAAAGTCTATATCTTAAAATTCTAAACCCTAAAAAATATTTTGACACCTAAAGCACTCTAAACACTCAAAATTAAACCCTAATAGAACATAATTAACCCAAACATAAATACTATAAAGAAAACATAATTTTTAAAAAGTGGCATTTTTGTAAAGATTTCAAAAGTGTGGCATTTTTGTAAAGTGGCACTTGAAAAGTGATATTTTTTGAAATTTCTCGGGATATTAATCTAGCTAGGTTTCATCATGTGATTGATCCGATTAACAAGAAAGTTATTTATTTTAAATTAATATTAATTTAATTAAGAAATTACCTATTTAATAAACTTAATCCATGACATCATTTAACCAAAAGATATCTCATCATTTTTTCAAAAACATGTAATAGTTAATAACCAATTAAATTAAAATATCTAAACTAACTAAATAATGGGGCAATTGCAAAAATGTTATTTTTGGATGACACATTTGCAAAAACGCCGTTTAGGGGTGTCCATTTGCAAAAATACCACTAATTATGAATTTTTAAAGCCTAAATCTTAAACTTATAAACCCTAAAAAATATTTTGACCCCTAAAACTCTTTAAACCCTCAAAACTAAACCTTAATACAACATATTTAACCCAAACATAAATGATATAATAAATTTTTTTTTTTAAAATGACATTTTTACAAAAGATTTTGAAAATGTGGCATTTTTGAAAAGTGACAATTTTAAAAAATGACTTTGGTTTTAGTACTAAAGAGATATTTTAAAACGGAAGTTAATGAATTCAAAAATGTATTATTTTAAATTTGAAGATAATTTTATTTTCGAAAAATGGAAAACGGAACAAACAAATCTGAGAAAGAAAAAAAAAGAAGTGGAATATACTCGAGTTCTCGATTTTGATTATCAAATCTGGAGAAAAAGGTGTTGCATAATTGCATCATTAAAGATTAGTTGGGGAAAAATTATTAGTTTATTAAAGAGGTGCGATCACCCAAGAGCCCATGAAGAAAGTGGATTCAATAGTAGGATTAGGACATTACGTGGGGGTGATTGGGATGTAGAAATCACGTATATTTTTGTATATTTGATGTTTATATTTATATCTCATTTCTTAATTAGCTCTTTACCTATTCTATAGAATGTGTATATTTCTCTTGTAACCTAGGTGAGTCTAGGATCTGATAAGCTTTTGCAATCAATACAACACAAAATTCCTAACGGTCGTTTTCTGTCATATACTGATATATGGTATTAGAGTCATTCATCCTATTTTAGGTTACCCCTATCGAAAACAAAAGTTAGCATATGTTAGGTACTTAGGGTTTTTTTTTTTTTTGGTCGAAAGTCATGATTTTATATCATTAAACCGGTATCACTTAATACATTGTGTAAGGCTGATTTCGCGATGCGATCGGCTTCTTCATTTCTAGATCTAGGAACAAAAGTAAACGACACTTCTAGATCATGCGATTGTGATGATGTCTTGATTGATGCCATAGATTTCCAAGTGGAAACTTTCGGAATTGATCAGATTGATACGCTGTTGCGAGTCAGAGACGATCGTGAATTTGTTGAAACCTCTCTCCCCTGCTTGAATCAGAGCTTCCTTCACAGCCATAGCCTCAGCCATGAGCGCCGATCAGATCCCGGGTTCTACCTTTGAGCCTTGTGCCATAATCCGATTCTGGAGATCCTTGAAGATCCAGCCCAATCCAGCTGCTCCCATATCCGCTTTTCACGCCGCGTCGGAGTAGCACCGAAGTCCAGATATAGCGATTGATGGATCCGTACTGATCCTCTTGATGCCGATGGTTTGTGCTTGTGCCAAGATCCATTCGGATGCGTCATGAATTGCCTTTGTCATCGTCTATGTTGCTGAGAAGTTTCTGTTTTGGAATATCTTTTGGTTTCATGTTAAACAGAGAGACCAAGCAACCCATGGGAAGAGGAGACCGTCACTGATGCTTACCGGAGGTAAACAGATCATCTGATTTGCTTGAAGTAATCTCGTTTGGAGGTTCAATATCGTCTCTGAGAAGAAGGGTTCTTTGTAAGGGGCC